AAAATGTGCAAAATATAATTGTAGTAACAAATTAAATTAAATATCGATTAAAGTTTTAGCTTACATTTATCACTAAAATAAAATATAAACAATATTACTGTCATAGATTTAGATTTTTTAAAACAACTAAAGTATAAAATGAAAAATAAAAATATCTCCATAAACTCACAATTTGTTATGATATACTTAGACCATCTCCAACGCCAAGCAAATAGCATTTCGTCCGCCAGCTGTCCAATTTTTTTAACAAACACAGTTCGCCACGCATGCTGCAAGTAAATTGTAATGCAACGGTACAATACATTAAAATAATATTAAAAATATAGTTGTTGTTTAACGGCTCTTTTACTTTTTGTTTTTTGTTTTTTTTTTAAATATTTTGTTTTGTTATAAATAGAACCCAATATTTTTCAAATTGTATCTCATAAATTTATTTCTCTCACATAATTTTATCATCTTATTAGCCTTCAATTGATCATATATTTTACCAAAATTTTTATTTTATTTGTTCAAATTATTATTGTTAAGGTCAAATGGACCCTAACCAATATAATTTTCAACAATCTATGTTCCATCTCATACAAAATCAGCAAAATTCTAATCCTCAAAATTCTCAATTTCCCCCACCACCAACAAATTCTACCGTATTTTTTTCGTCACCAAACAACCCAAATATGTATTTTAGACCACAAATAAATACTCATGGGATGAATTTTTCTCATCATGAACCCAAAACACCAAATGGGTTTATGTCCGAACGCCAAGTTCCACAATTTTCAACTCAAGTTGGTATTGAAAATAATACAATTGATAAAGAACAAAGGCGTCCAGTTAAAAGAAAACCTCGAGGGGTATTCACAAGGGAAGAAGATACACTTCTTATGCAATCATGGCTCAATGTTTCAAAGGATCCAATTGTGGGAGTTGATCAAAAAGTCTATAGCTTTTGGTTAAGAATCACCAATAATTATAACCAATATCGTGGGCAGTCACGAGAAAAGCTACAAGGCCAATTAAAATCTCGATGGCATCGAATAAATAGCCTTGTTCAAAAATTTGTTGGGTGTTACAAACAAGCTGTTCATGGAAAAAAAAGTGGGGCATCAGAGAAAGATATCTTAGTCAATGCACATGCTTTTTTTGAACAAGATGAAGGTGCACCATTCAATCTTGAGTATGCATGGAGGCTTTTAAAAGATGAACCTAAATGGATGGGAGCATCCACTGAAAATTCTTCAAAGAGATCAAAGAATTCTACTAGTGGTGCATACACGACATCGCCAAACTCAGAGACACCTTCAAGTTATGAGTTTAACTCATCATCTCCAATGGAGCGTCCTATGGGACAAAAGGCGGCAAAACGAAAAGGTAAGGCAAAGGAAAATACAAATGCAACTGAACCTCCTTCTAGTGTTAATTCTGATACAATGACTAAAAGAATGAATTTAATGGAAAATCTAGCACGACTTAAGGAGGAAGAAAACAAATTAGTCAAGGAAAAGATGGAGTCTGAAGCACGACTTAAGGAGGAAGAAAACAAATTAATAAAGGAAAAAATGGAGTTTGAAGCAATGCAATTCATAATGTCAGACACTTCTAAGATGAATGATAGTCAGCGTGAATTTCATGAAAAACGGTGTAATAACCTAAAAGAAAAATATGGATGGTAATAATATGCAATGTTCTAGTATTTATTATATTTAAATATTATGTAGTACTTGTTATGTATCAACTATTGTAATAAGATGCAACATTTTAGTATTTATTTTATTTCAAATATTATTCAAACTAGCCGTTATTCAAATTAAATATTATTCAAACTAGCCGTTATTCAAACTAGTCGTTATTCAAATTAAATATTATTCAAACTAGCCGTTATTCAAATTAAATATTATTCAAACTAGCCGTTATTCAAATTAAATATTATTCAAACTAGCCTTATATATACCTTCATTCTTTAATCACTTTTCTATCCCCCTCTCTCATTCTTCAATCATTTTCCTACCATCCTTCTCTCATTCTTTTATCATTTTTATATCACCATTCCCTCACTTCAATGGATTCAAACACTTCAAACAACCTCAACAAACTTTTTTGGGAGGTGATTGAAGAAGAACTAATGGACAACACAGATGAAGAACTATTGTTGTCAATGCTCGAGAAGGAACGTCAATCTGGAAGTTCATCAAGGAAAAAAAGAAGATCAGTGATAAATCGGAATCGCGAAGAAGGGCATATACGATTAGTCAACGACTACTTCTCAGAAAATCCAGTATACACAGATTCCCAATTTCGTAGAAGGTTTAGAATGCATAGGCATTTATTTCTTCGAATTGTAGAAACCCTTGGAAATCATGATGAATATTTTCAAATGAGGGTCGATGCAACTGGTAAAATGGGTCTTTCACCATTGGAGAAGTGCACTTCTGCTATTCGAATGTTAGCATATGGATCTTCTGCTGACATTGTAGACGAATATGTTCGAATTGGTGAAAGCACTACAATTGAGTGCTTAGAGAGATTCATAAGGGGCGTGAATGAGGTATTTGGGGCCGAGTATTTGCGAAGGCCTAATAACAATGATGTTGAAAATCTTTTACAAATGGGGGAGTCGCGTGGATTCCCAGGCATGCTAGGTTCCATTGATTGTATGCATTGGGAATGGAAGAATTGTCCTGTTGCATGGAAAGGACAATTTTGTCGAGGTGATCATGGTAAACCCACGATCATGCTTGAAGCAGTGGCATCGCAAGACCTGTGGATTTGGCATGCATTTTTTGGTGTTGCAGGTTCAAACAATGACATTAATGTGTTAAACCAATCCAATGTGTTTAATAATATTTTGGAAGGACGTGCTGCTAGTGTGCAATATACAATCAATGGAACTCCATATAATATGGGGTATTATTTAGCGGATGGTATATATCCTGAGTTAGCTACATTTGTCAAAACCATTTCGATGCCACAAGGAGAAAAGAGAAAACTATTTGCACAACACCAAGAATCAGCTAGAAAGGATGTGGAACGGGCATTTGGAGTGCTTCAATCTCGTTTTGCAATAATACGTGGTCCAGCGCGTGCTTGGCACATGGAAACCCTCAAGCATACCATATATGCTTGCATCATATTGCACAACATGATTGTCGAAGACGAACGACATACATATGGAGGTGATTTTGATTACTCTTACGATAATGCAGGTAACAACAACTCAACGACTGAAACATTTAACGGTCCTCATCCGAATCTTGTAACAAGACTACAAAGAAGAGCAACTCTTCGTGAAAAACAAGTTCATCGCAAACTTCAAGGAGATCTAGTCGAGTATATTTGGGAACGTTTTGGACATAAGGACGATGGAAATTAAATTTGAGTAATTTTGTTATGTAACTTATTTTTATTGTTTTTAATTATATTATTATTATTATTATTATTTTTAATTATATATCATGTATTTGAGATTAATTTTAATTATTATTTTAATATTTTATGTTTAATTTTATTTATTTTATATTAATTTAATTTAAATAATTTAGGTTATTATTTTAAATCAAATAAAATTTAGTATGAATAAAATATTAATATACAAAGTAAAATTGTAGGACCCAATATGAGTTTTTTAGAATTACACCATTGGAGTGAAAATTGAAGTGAGTTGCTTCAAGATGATGTTGATCAATGGGTCCCACAAAGAACCAAATAATAGGTTGCACCATTGGAGATGCTCTTACAAACAATATTTATCATTGGTTTATTAATTAGTGGATTATATTTATTTCTTTACACTCTAAAGTGAATTAGTTACTTTAGAAGAACCAGACCCCACCGTCATATATGGAGTGGTCAACTTCAAACACTATTTTGTTGCTAAGAGTGTTCAATTTACTAAAAATTCCAGTGATTTCTCTTAGCTTGCTGGTGCATGCTGTGATGGGAGTCAATGGCAACTTGAATGATGAAAGGTAGTAGCAATTATTTCCATTGATTCTCATCACAACTTGGTCCTGACTACTTGAAAATCCCATACAATACAAGTATTGATATTCTAACATGTATTTTCATTATTATTTCTATATTACAAGTGACTTTTGAAATTCATTCATTTCATTGTCTTTAAAGTATTTCACCGAGTCAGTTTTATTTGGTGCATTTACCTAATCCAATTATTATTAATCTTAAGTGAAAGTAAAATACATTTAGAAGAAGAAAGCTATAAGGAAATAGCAGTAAATAGTTTCAGCATTCATCGTAACTGAAATGATTGAATGAAAAATTATATTCAATATCATTACTATAATTCAAACTAATAGCTAACGGTTACTCACGGTTGATGTGGTATATAATGCCAATTTGCCAAATATTATTTTAGTTTGGATTTTGTTCCGCCCCTGTCAAATGGTGCAGTAGGAGCGAGTCAACACCAGAGGCCAAATTCAGAACACCACCACAAAACGTTGATGGCCATCTCAGGCCATTAATATGAAAATATTAGTTTTTCTTTTATAATATATGCCATATTAGTAATATATGTTACTGCTATCTCAAGCTAAGTGAATTTACTATATGCTACTGCTAGTAATACTACAATTAAAAGAACAAATCCAAAACGTTGTTGTATGGCACATTGACATATGCATCCATCACCAAAAAACCAGCATATGCTCTCCCTACACACATAGACAATCGGATGCACAAACATCATATTAAAAAAAAAAGTTGTCTTGTTTGAAAATAACACACCACCCATATACAAAACAGGAAAACATTGCCTCAATTTAACAAAGGGGGAAATCTTGTAATTTTAAGCAACTAATAGTTAATCCCATTATCAAGACTGCCAGCAAACATGTACACATTACATAACATAGCTTAAAATAAGAAAAATCAAATACCATATCAAAAACAACAAAGGTTACCGGATGGTAGTAAAACCATCTAAAATTGTAATCTGCAACTGATGCACTCTGCAGGATGGGACAGAAGAGAACAATGCTTACAGTTTAAAATCTAGTGATCTGTAACAGCTTACTTACACGTATGACGAATCTAACACGTGTAGTATATGCATTATAAAACGCATGCGCTTCAGCTCCTGATACAAACTCCTGACCCATATAGGGCTCATCAACTGTTCTAACAGCTGATAATGTAGGAATTGCTAACAGAATTTGGTCCACTCTAAAAGAATCTTGAGTCATATTATCATCTTGATCCTGTTCTTCTGTTGGATCGAAACAATTGCCGTCAACTTTGTCTTTGTCAGCTATACTACTGCTAACCTCTCAAGTAGTAACATTTCCTACTGTATCACCATTACTTGAGTCATCAATCTCAAACTCCACTGCACAAAAAAAATATCTGCTATAAGATATTCATTGCAAGATGATACTCTATAAAGCAGTCTCTATATAACTGACGAAATACACCATCGGCGAAGATAAGAATTATGAAAGAACCAGAGGAAAAAATATATATATTCTTAATTCCAAAATTCTTCCTTTTCATTATTATTTTCAAAAGAAAGCTTAGCATAGAAAAGAGATTTTGTAAATAACATATATAACGCAATAGGAAAACTTTTATAAAAGGAACTCATGTCTGGTAAAGACAAACACCTCTCATTGCTCTAACCAAGCTATGATATGGATTTACATTACTCTGATTACTCATTATGCCAAAAGATCATTTGTCCCTAATAAAATTAAAAAATCTGAAGTTTAAAATGTATAAAAAATAGACTGCCCTTTGCAGCTTGGTATTTACAATTGGAAAAACATACATGTATTCTTAAGAAGTGTTTGGTGTAAGAGTAAATATGGAGTAAGTCAGCAACAACATCGTGCCAACATTTATATGCACAAGAAAGACTTCAGATCTCATCCCTCAACCTATTAACAAAGGGGCGGAAAATAAACTTTAAAGATTGCAAGTTCCACCAGGTTCAAATACATACAGACAAGCTAGAAGCAAGAACTAATTACTGTAATGTAGATTTCTGAAGCTCTTTCTAAATATCTTTCAAACCTGAAGGATTGTGAGCATGACTGTATGATTTGAGATCATTCAAGATGTGTTCTTCCACATAAGCGGTTATGCACTGAAGAAGCTACTCAACAAATGAGCTCTTTCCTTTCCAAAGAGATGAAACAATTACTTCAGGACTGAGATTCTCAATAGGAAGTGTGCTTTACGAGGCTGCAATTATGCATCATCAACATTATGAATTGACATATCTCAGCAGAAGCTAATAAAATTATCTTGTATGACAAATTCGGGTTCATGTCTGCAATTAAACAAGACATAGAAAATTTGCAAAGTTTCTGATATTTGTGAATGGTGGAAATATCGGACCCTTTTCAAAGTTTTCTTCTGTTAAAATTACTTCTTCTATATAGTGAAAATTCAACCACTGTCAATAGCAATTGGTTAACAAAATTATGAACCTATTATACTTAAGGCTTGTGTTTGAAAGACCGGATGCAAAAGCCATAACAGCACCAAGTGCAAATATATCAGAGAATGGAGTTGATTTAGATGGAGGCGACACTTGAAGCACCAATATAGTTTTGAAAATTGCAAGCAGAACCTAACTAATAAACCTAACCATTTGGCATTCATAAATGACAAAACCTGAACACATAATAGATGTAGAAAGTTAATAAAAAATTATTATCAATGCTACTAATAGTGGCTTGCTAAGTGATTATGACCTCATTGTTACCAGTTCTGATATTGCTTTCTTCCTAAGATTGATGTTGCTTCCCTACTGAAGCTACATTTGCTTTCAGATCATTGTATAACTTTAGAACGGTTTTCAGATCTGCAATTACAAGCCAACATCATATTGTAATTCAAGCAACCACAACAACAACAACAACATATTTTACACTACCTAATCTAGAAGTATAAGAAACTTTAAACATGGAGAAAATATAATCAACATGAACATGGTTCTAACTACATACAACTACATTCTTTTAATGTTGTATCTAACATGTATGATGCATAACTGGTGTATGTACTTTGAAATATGATTTGATAAGTTGGACGACTTACTGTCTCGAATTTCAAGTAAAAAAACAGAATACTCACTATGTATCCAGGTTCTTTCTCCTGATAAGACTCAGGTTTCTCAAGCTTTACGTAGGTGATTGATGTGACAAATTCAAAAAGTCTGAGACACAGCTGAAGTGGTCCGTGGAACCCATGGAAGAACAACAACTGACTTGAGAAAAATGGTGATTTAAAGAAACATAACAGAAATGCCAATCTTACAGCAAGTTACATGATACAATGAGAAAAATACTGAATTCAACCTTAACCAATTGTTGATCGGGTTTGAATCCTTAAGTGACTCCAAGATCCACAGCTTGATCAGTAATAAATTGAACAAAGCTTCTTATAACAGGAAGACTAACCTGCTAACTCTTGAATACCGTCAAGGGAAGGTTCACAAGTTAACACTGAAACAATTGTCATAACCTCTTCACATTACTTCTCCAGTGGCATCACTAGAAAATGTAGACTTAAAGCCCTCAATAAATCTAGCTGTTCATATGGAATCTACAATATAGAAAGGCACGACAGTACATCAAATTAAATAAAAATCAGCTAACACAAAGTGTAAGGTTAGCTTTGATAACATATCACGAAGAACTTATACATGGGTCCATCCAGTGTAGATGTAGTGAAGTAGTGCATGGAGACCTTGATAATAAACAACAGGCATTATGATGACAAAGGAGGAGCAGAAAGTGAAGTTTCCAGAACCCGCTAAATCTCCTATTGATTCATTAGTAATTCTGTCCCAGTCCATAAAGTCTCGGCATTACAAATAAAGTAAAGCTTTCACTATTTGCTGTTTCACAATTCACACCAAGAGCTACAGCAGTGTCCCCCAAAACCAACAGTAAACATTCATATTTCCATCCGTTCTTACCTCCAAGAGCCCAATTTTTTTCCGGTATTTTTCTAGTGATTTCAAATGCTTCATGAAAGATGTTAATCACTTGACTAATCATCATTGCATGTTTGTCCCCTTACATTACCATCACTTTTAATAATGATTACCCCTATTCCACACCAACTTAAATATCCCTTTTTTAAGGGCTCATGCCTCATACTTACTCCATGTACCCACTAGAGATGAACATTCAGGATCTTAAGGGGAACAAAGTTTGTGTAGTAACCGCTAGTCTAGTTAGCCTTGGAATTGGGGGAATAATATATTACAAATAATGTTACTTCATATTTTGTTTCTATGGTTGTCTAATTAATGTCTTGAATAGAAGTGTTAGAGTATACATATGAATATATGCACTGCTCATAGTCATACTTGTTAATCAAATCTGACACATATATAACAACAACACTACATGCGGAACGTATTTTCTTTCTAATATGCAGGAAATTAACCACACTAACACTACATTAAAATAAAACTGAATCACATTCATACCTCAAACAAAAGCCCGTTTTCATCCATGGCATGAAGATCCAAAAGCCCAGCTCCAAAATCCACTATGAACTCAGGCGAATAAAACCCATCTGATGCTGCCACTCCAGCCAAATTTTAAGTGTTGAGCGTATACAATTTTGAACCGGATTTCCCATTAAAATTGAGGTTTCTCATTAACTTCTTCATTTTTTCATTCCCTTTCTCCTCCACAATAATTTCATCTATGATTGAGGCATCATCCATCACATTTTTTCACTTCCCTCCACCGATGCCACATCAGCAACTGCAACCTCCGTGTTTGTGTTTGCGGCAACGTCCCAGCCTTAATTGCAACCGTGGTCTCAAGGTCTCAATCGTTGGGGAAATTCAAAACATCGTCGTCGACATTAGGCTGCGAATCAGAGGCATGTGGAGGAGATTGGTTAGGTTTTGGTTCGTAGGACGTTCATAGTTGAATTGAAATCCATGAGGAGGGGAAATTAAGGACAATAATATTAGCGTAGATTAAACGAATAAGGCAGTGGAAAATTTTATAACCGCCATTTCTTATATGTAATCGGCATGTTGGTGGAGAATATGAAAATTTGAAATAGAGACCAAAGAAGATATCCATATGAAGTGTCTTTGGAACAAAACGACAAAATTGGTGAATAAATTTTTTTATATTATATATTTAGATATTTTATTTTAAGACTCGTCAAAAAAAGTCAATCACATTAAAATCTTTTATCCGGTTGACTGAAATCTCAAAAACAAGAACAATCAGACAAAAATCAGGGATATTAAATCAAAAGAAAGAGGTCACTACAAATCCTCAACAACATGAAAAATGTTGCAAAAATGACTGCCTTTCGACAAACTTAACTTGTCTAAACCATCACCAAAACGTTATTTCAGACTCAATTAGAGTTCAAACGCACAATTAACTGAGTTTCGGACTGAATAACATCACGAAGAGCGGGTGGGTACAAACCCACTTTGATCCTTTATCCTTTGTTTCTTAAACCGTGAACCGAGTCACGCTACAATCCTTCAAAAGTTCTAATTGAAATATGGGTTAGTTCGAAAGCATACTGTTACAAAAGGTATCTTGACTCCTGTAAGGCTTTTCCCTAAATCCTGAGTTTGAATTTTCTTACAAAACTTCTTTACTTGCTAAAACGCATTTTCAAAATTTTAAGACAAGCATAAACTTTGCATTATTTGAATATCGCTGTTTGCATATGGCTATTTGTTTGACAACAGAGAAATTCACACAACGAATATCCAGTGAATGAAAGCTCTCTTAGTGAACAAAATCACTTCGATTAGAAAGACATTTCCAATGACAAATCTCTCATGATCAAAGGGGCACGACATGACCTTTGTCCAACACATCTGGGACAGTCAAGTCAAGATTCAAAGAATCTCTCAAAGAATTGTTGAATAACCAGGGGAAAATCTCCATATGTATCACTCAAGGGGAAATGTCATGTTCATCATGGGTTTGAACAATATCCATTATGAAGACTTCCGGTACCATCAATTTGTTTGTCTGTACCAATAGTATCAGATGGTGTCAGTATCAGATGGTGTCAGTATCAAATGGTGTCAGTATCATGTCTTCGGATCCTCCCATGACAGTTCTTAGAAAATTCTGAGACTTGACCAAAGATCTTGGGTACCATCAATTTTCTTGTCTGTACTAATAGTATCAGATGGTGTCAGTATCATGTCTTCGAATCCTCCCATGACAGCTCTTAGAAAATTCTGAGACTTGACCAAAGATCTTGGGTACCATCAATTTTCTTGTCTGTATCAAATAGTATCAGATGGTGTCAGTATCAGATGGTGTCAGTATCATGTCTTCGGATCCTCCCATGACAGTTCTTAGAAAATTCTGAGACTTGACCAAAGATATTGGGTACCATCAATTTGCTTGTCTGTACCAATAGTATCAAATGGTGTCAGTATAAGATGGTGTCAGTATCATGTCTTTGAATCCTCCCATGACAGTTCTTAGAAAATTCTGAGACTTGACCAAAGATCTTGGGTACCATCAATTTGCTTGTCTGTACCAATAGTATCAGATGGTGTCAGTATCAGATGATGTTAGTATCAGACGGTGTCAGTATCAGATGGTGTCAGTATCATGTCTTCGGATCCTCTCATGACAGTTCTTAGAAAATTATGAGACTTGACCAAAGATCTTGTGTACCACCAATTTGTTTGTCTGTGCCAGTAGTATCAGATGGTGTCAATATCAGGTCTTCGGTTTCTTCCACAACAGTCTTAGAAAATATCTCGAGGAAGTTCAGGGCTACCAGAAATGTGATCAAAATCTCAAGCGTCAAGGTGCACCAGTTTAACTCTGAGGGAAAACAGGCTCCCACATAAAGGGTCATGTGCGACCAAGCAAACATTTTCTGGAATTACTACAATACTTACTTCTAGGGGCAGTGACAAATCTTCCCAAGATCCTTCTCATAGGATGAATCCCAGCCAGAGTTTCAATCTCTGAAAACTTCTTACCAGTTGAGTCGACCTCAAGAACCCTCGAGGATTTTCCCCAGTGAAGACACCTCTCCAACAGACCGACAACAGGGTTTATTTCCCCAACAAACTACAGATTCCCCAATTTGAGTTTGCCTCTCCGACTACTACAAATCAAAGGACCACAACTCCTCTTCCTCGATAGACTACTCTACAATCCCTAGAAAGTTACTTTAAAGCCTGGACCCGACCAGATATCAGTTCAACTTCGACTCCCCAGTAGAGCAACGAACAACTGAGACTCCTGAACTTTTTTCCCCAAGCAAGGATCAACATTCTCCACATAGTTTTCAACATTCCTCAGCAGAGCTCTCCTCAAACAACAAAACATGAATCCTTGGTGGAAATATTCTAAGCAAAGTTTGAAGACTCGCCTACTCTTCAACAGCAGTCCGGGATTTAATGACTCCCCAGCATTTGTCAAGAATTTATTTTCCCAAACAAAGATACATTCAAATAACATTTCACCCTCCATACATCATATTGCGTACATGACATGCATACGACAAAATCTCATTTATTTTGAGAACATCATTGCACCATGCATTTAATACATCATGATATTGCATACATGTAACATTTTACCTTTTTCAGGAAAAGGTTAATTAATAGATGGTTATTGTCAATAATCTTCAAAAGGTGTGAATTTAATACCTGTAAAAAGTTGGGGCAATTATCTAGACGGCCAGCTGAAGCAATCCTACACGGGCTCCTTCCTATACACTCTTCTAGAAACAATTCAGATGCAATCCAGATACGGCTGACATTCTGACACTTATTTCAGATTCCTTCTAGAAACAGTTCAGATGCGATCCAGATATGGCTGACATTCTGATACTTACTCCAGATTATCTTCTAGAAACAGTTCAGATGCGATCCAGATATGGCTGACATTGTGATACTTACTCCAGATTCTCTTCTAAGTACCGTCCATATACAATTCAGACTCGGATGTCATTCTGATACTTCTTTCAGCATACCTTTTTAATACAGTCCAGATACGATCCAGATACAGATGTCATTCTGACTCTCATTCAGTACATCTCTTAAATACGAGTCAGATACAATTCATTTATGAATATCATTCTATTGCTCATCCAAGATCTCTGCTGGTTCAGTTTAAATCTCTCAATGATTTGTTCCGATTCTTCTCCATATCCTTGTCGGTTCAGATGAATCACTCAATGATTTATTCTGATTCTTCTCCAGATCCCTGTCGGTTCAGCTTAAATCTCTCAACAATTCATTCTGATTCTTTCCCGCAGACATCTTCTCTGGTTCAGACAAATCTCTCAATGATTTATTCTGATTCTTCTCCAGATCCCTGCCAGTTCAGTTTAAATCTTTTAACGGTTTATTCTGATTCTTTCCCGCAGACATCTTCTCTGGTTCAGATAAATATCTCAATGATTTATTCTGATTTCTTCTCCAGATCCCTGCCGGTTCAGTTTAAATCTCTCAACGTTATATTTTGATTCTTTCCCGCAGACATCTTCTCTAGTTCAGATAAATCTCTCAATGATTTATTCTGATTCTGTCCTAGTAGGCACTTTCTCTGGTTTAGATAAATCGCTCAAGGATTTACTCTGATTCTCTTCAGTTAAAGAATATTCAAGACCTCTTTTGGTTCAGTTTAAACCTCTCAACGGTTTACCCTGATGCTTTCCAAATGAACATTTCTGGTTCAGATAAATCGCTCCAAGATTTATTCTGATTCTTCCCTGTCAAACAACATACAAGACTTCTTCTAGTTTCAGATAAATCACTCCAAAGATTTATTCTGATTCGTTTCCAGTTGAAGTCAAGTTCAAACTTAGTCCATTTTCTGTCAACAATTACCCTTGGATGGAATCTACAAGCCCATCTTGTTAGAACATAGTTTGATTCTACAACCCTTGGTTAGAGTTTTGATGATAACAAATACAAAGAATAATTAAATACAAAGAACAAATATGCACCTTAAAAATATGTTCTATGTATGCAGAAGTTCTGATCAGATCAGCATCAGAAGATAAGCCATAAAGTATTACAAGCTGAAGCAATCAGATTATACGCTGAAGATTGGTGACCAGAACCTGCGCTCAATTATAGTAAACTCTGATTCTAAACATGAACACATCAAACTAAGTCATCAATATTCTGAAGCGTAATCAGCAGTAAGGAGAAAAGACTCTGAAGCGTTACTGAACATCAAGATTCCAACGGCTTTCTTCAGACAGGATCTTCTTAATAAGGAAAGTGTGTTAATGACATTAAACATGCATTATGATTAACGTTATTACATTGCCTATATAAACAAGTCAGCTTGCAAAAAGAAGCACGTACGTACACACAACAATTTTGCTAAGATCACCAACCACGCATATTCTAGCTAAAGCAAATTCATTCTTTATTCTAAGCTAAACCTGTGTAATTTATCACAGTTTGTGATAAACCGTTTTTGTTAGAAAAACATCAACACATATTGTTCAATCATATTGTAAAAGAGATCCTTGAGATTAATCGGATTATGGTTGTACTCAAGAAGACTTTAACAGTTGTTAAAGTATCTTTTGTAATCTTGTTGAGATTAGTGAATTAAGACCTCGTTGGAGAGATGCGAAATCACCTTGACGGGTGGACTGGAGTAGTTTGAGATCAAACGAACCAGGATAAAAATACTGTGTCATTAAGCTGTTTTAGATCCAAGTTTTCAATTCAACCCCCCCTTCTTGTGTTTTTCACATCTTCAATTGGCATAAGAGCGCCTGGTTCTGAGCTTAAACACTTAACCGTGTCAGTACAAGATCCAAGCATCAGAAAAACACTATGGTGGGACCAAGCCAAAACATCAGCAATGACAACAATGAAGACAGGGACAGATTCAATGGTAAACCTCCAGTCTTTGATGGAGAAAACTTTGACTACTGGAAAGACAAA